AAAAGTAGTCTATTGCAAAATCTGGGTGAAATCACACAAGACCGTGTGGTACAGGACTGCTGCCATGTGCTGACTGCTTACTACATACCAGGCACAGTTTCACACTTTATGTGTTAACTATCTTGATCCGTCTGTCCAACATCCCTTTCGGGTGGGTAGGTGATATTTGTGTGTCTTTTGCAGATGACAAGCCTGTAGTTTGTTCAAGGTCTCACACCAAGTGACCCAACTATGGTGGAAACCCAGATTTCTTTTTTCTTTTGCTATGTAGCTCAGGCCAACCTCATATTCACTGTATAGCCCAGGCTGGCCTTGACCTCAAATGCCTCCAGCCTTAGCCTCCAGCCTAGGTCCAGAAATTTACCAGCATGAGCAGCCATGCCCAACAGGAGCCCTGTATTTCTGACTTTTCATATTAGTTACTGTATTTTCCTGTCTCCAAAATGAGATGGCTCAGGACTGAATCGGTTACAAGAACAGAGAGAGGAAATCACGTGCTTCTGCCGTTGGTGGTCGTTACGCACAGAAACCTAACCAATGCTAAAGTCATCTCTCCTGGTGCAGCACCTTCCCCTGGCTCCCACTTTAGGTCTTTTCTCTTTCCAACAAACAAAATATGGAGGGTGGGGAGAAGGTCATGTAACCAGAGAATACATTACTGAAGGGAACAGGACGTGGGACAGTTGTAGACAATCATTCCGCTGTAATGGACCTTTACCAGGCCCCCTTGAGGACAGAATTTAGCACAGTGGTTATGAGGGACTCCCATGCTAAACTGCTTGACTTAAATCTCCACTCTGGCTGGGTGGTGATGGTGGTGGCACACGCCTTTAATCCTAGCACTTGAGAGGCAGAGGCAGGTGGATTTCTGAGTTCGAGGCCAGCCTGGTCTACAGAGTGAGTTCCAGGACAGCCAGGGCTGTTACACAGAGAAACCCTGTCCTTCATCAGTCGTGTGGACCTCGGGAAGTCGCTTTCCTCAACATCCAGTCAATTGTAACGATGACCATGTTATATCCAGAGTTACTGTTATATCCAAATAAATTAGTATACAGAAAAGCCTGAAGGAATGTCCAAGGCAGTCAAGGTGAGTGGTTGCCACAGATGGGCCTTAGGTCACTTTGGTCCTCCACCATCGACATTCAGCTCTCAGCTCTGTGCTAGCTCCAGCTCAGCCCCTCCCGTACTCACCTCTGCTCTTCTCCACCCTTCAGGAGATCCTGTTGGGCCGAGGCTTCACTTTCTGGCAGTGGTTTGATGGTGTCCTAGACCTCACTAAACGCTGTCTCCGGAGCTATTGGTCAGACCGGTGAGTCCCTGACCCCAGGTGGCCACTCACCTGTACCTGTGTCTCCCTCGCCTACCCCAGTGTCCACATCCCCATCCGTGTCTCCTCCTTCACTCTGCCCAGGCTGATCATCGGCTTCATTAGCAAACAGTACGTCACAAGCCTTCTCCTCAACGAGCCAGATGGAACTTTCCTCCTCCGCTTTAGCGACTCTGAGATTGGCGGCATCACCATTGCCCATGTCATTCGGGGTCAGGATGGTGAGTCTCCACAGCCAGCCCTGACTGCTGTGTTCTCTTGGGCTTCTGGGGAAGGAAATGCCCTGGTGGTCCTTGATGTCCGCCTGATCTTTAGGAAGTTCTTCTTTAGGTCTGGCTTCTTGCCCTCCTATGGTCTAACCTTCTACTCCCATGGCAATGGAGATGAGTGGGTGTCCTTCACGCAAGACCTTCCAGGCTAGACCTTCTCTCATATGCCATGATGGTTGAGAATGGGACTTGTGTGGGGCTGGGGGAAGAGACGTTTGGACAGAGGAGACCTCAGGGTCTCGTTCCTCTTGTAGGCGCCCCACAGATAGAAAACATCCAGCCATTTTCTGCTAAAGACCTGTCCATTCGATCACTGGGAGACCGAATCCGGGATCTTGCTCAGCTGAAAAACCTCTACCCCAAGAAACCCAAGGATGAGGCCTTCCGGAGCCACTATAAGCGTGAGCGGGCGGTTCTGATCCCTCCTGTCACCCACTTTCTCCCTGTTCCAGCCATACCCCTCTTTCTGCCTGCTGCTGTTATTCTTGTCTTCCCTCCCATTTCTGTAGCCCCGCCTCCACCTGCCCATCAACCTTCCTCCTTCCCACCTCCTTGATAGTGTGACACACCATAGTTCTGTCCTTCCCACCACAGCTGAACAGATGGGGAAGGACGGGAGGGGTTACGTATCGACTGCCATCAAGATGACTGTGGAACGGTAAGTGCTATGGCGGGGGTAGCGGGTGGAGATGGGGACTGGTACTTGTATCTGCAGGAAGGAGTGGCAGTCACGTGTGCTTCTTCCTCTCTGTCAGAGACCAGCCTCTTCCTACTCCAGAGCCTCATATGCCCACCACGGTGCCATCTTACGATCTTGGAATGGCCTCCGATACCTCCATGCAACTCAGCTCAGATATGGGGTAAGAAGGTTGAGAGACAAGGAGGGGCCGGCGCCTGCCAACGGGGTTATCAGGGGAAGGACTTGCATCAGGGTCTGCTTTCTTTCCTCAGGTACCCTCCACCGTCTCATTCCATCCACTCATTTCAAAACCTCCCCCTGGAAGAGTCAATCAATGTACTTCCAGCCTTCCAGGAGTAAGTCAGACCCCATGGAGGGTGAGATGGGGCAGCATCCAATGGCCAGCACTTGCTGTGTGTTTGCTTGATAGCTGTGATGCTGGGGGTTGAGTTTAGGGCTAAGGACTGAATATATGCCGAGCGTGTGCTCTACCGCTGAGATACATGCCAGCAGATGTGATTTTTTTTTTTTTTTTTGTTTTGTTTTTGAGACAGAGTTTCTCTGTGTAGCTATGGAGCCTATCCTGGCACTCTCTCTGGAGACCAGGCTGGCCTCGAACTCACAGAGATCCGCCTGCCTGGATGTGATGATTTTAATCTGCTAATCTTCATGATCCTAGAAACGGCCTAGACTTTTTTTCTTCCCCAAGTAGCATTAAGTTGCTTAATCAGCTCTGAGTCAAGGGCTTTTCTGTCTTCCTAGGAATTGATGTAGAGTGGGCCTGGGAAACAGAACCACAATTCAGTCTCAAGAAAACATTGGGCCGGGCGGTGGTGGCCACACCTTTAATCCCAGCCCTAGGGAGGCAGAGGCAGGCAGATCTCTGAGTTCAAAGCCAGCCATTTCTTCAGAAGTGAGTTCCAGGACAGCTAGGATGACACAGAGAAACCCTGTCTCAAAAAAAAAGGAAGTAAAAAAAGAAACATTGGTGGTTGGACACACACACCATTTCTCAGGGGAAAAATCTAATGTAGGATCACAGAAATGGCTTGCTGAGGGAATGCTAGTCAGTGAAATGCCAAGTCAGGATAAGGCCTGGCAGCTTTCCTGACTCGCTGTTCTGGACTTTGCAATACTCTCCCTCTGCCTGATTTCTTTCCTATTTTCTCCTTCCGCTTCCAGGGCTCCTCACCTGCAAATGCCCCCCAACATGAACCAGATGAGCCTACCCTTTGACCAGCCTCACCCCCAGTGAGTGACAAAACCCTCCTGACCTCACCTTCTCCATTTTTTCCTTGCCTCCCCCTCCTAATGTTCTCTTCTGACCCCTGGCAGGGGCCTGTTGCAGTGTCAGTCCCAGGAGCATGCTGTGTCTAGCCCTGAACCTTTGCTCTGCCCAGATGTGACCATGGCAGAAGACAGCTGCCTAACTCAGCCTGTGGGAGGTTTCCCCCAGGGCACCTGGTGAGTAGGAGCCTGGGGGGTGGCGGCTGAGAGAGAGGGTGCTGTGCCTGCGCCACTACTTTCCCCTCCTCCTTGCAGGGTCGGTGAAGTGGGCCTAGGAAACAGAACCATCCACGAAGACATGTTCCCTCCCCTACTGCCACCCACTGAACAGGACCTCACCAAGCTGCTCCTGGAGGGCCAAGGGGAGGCAGGGGGAGGGTCCTTGGGGGTGCAGCCCCTACTGCAACCTTCTCCTTATGGGCAACCTGGGATCTCAATGTCCCACCTGGACCTACGGACCAACCCCAGTTGGTGATTCCAGCTGGAGAAGCCCAGACACAGAGCCTCTTCTGTCTCTATGGACCTGCTCTGGGACCTGCTCATGCAGGTGCCTCCCGTCTCCAGCTGTTCCTTGGTCAGGAGGAAAGAACTGGCTGGGCGAATGCAAGGCGGCGTATGGAACCACAGCATTGTGTGCTTCCAAACACATCAGGGCCCCCTTTTCCAGCACAGGGGGCAGAGGGATGTTCAGGCTCTGATTTTGTAACAGGCATCTTCATGCCTACATCACATCACACACACACCCTACACACACAGGGACCAGGACACGCTGAGGAGGGACTAGGCAAGCACAGGTTAGGGCACCAGGGACTCCTGTGTTGAGCCAGGGCCTGGGGCACACATGCAGAAACATAAGACACTGTGCCTCCAATAGAGGGTATAGATTTAGGGCATTGAAGCAGGGGTTCAGGAGACCCTGGGTGGGAGGAAAAAGGGGGGTGTAGGCATATGGTTACTGGTAATGATTAAAAACCAAGTTCCTCCAAAGCTCCAAATTCTTGCCAAAAAGAGGCTCTGTGACAGTTGAGAGTGAGCCTCACAAGAGCTAGGCTTCTTTGTGTGTGTAGCTGTACCAATGTTTACCTGAGACATGTTAACCTACAGATGTCACACACTCACTATATGACCACACAGGACACGTATCTCTGCTTTTGCCTGTGTGACAACACATATTTGAAAGGCTCAGAGTAACCCAATGTCATTTTGGGCATAACTACCTGGCTGTGACATGCATATAGCTATAGCCTTGGTGACTCCATGCTTCCTGTGTTTTCTAGAGCCTGAGGACTGAATAGGGGGGTACAGGCCTCGCTGTGTAACGCCCTGGGCGCTGGTGGCCCCACCTGCTCTTTTATTTTTCCCATCCACTGCCGGCTTCTCTCCATTCACACCTCATGCCGTCCCCTTTTCCCTCCCTAGGGGGAGGGGGGATCATGGATCCTAAGCCATAAAATAAATTTTATTCCAAAATAACAAAATAAATAATCTACTGTACACAATCTGAAAAGAAAGACACTCTAAGAGTTTGACAGGTGCTGCAGTCCTCCTGCTGGACTGAGGAGACCCAGGGTCTAACCCAGGCCTCTAAGAGGCTGGTGGAGGGAACTGTGGGGAGCCCTCACACACAGTACAAGAACGAACTGCTGGGAGGGGGGGTGATGAGGATGGGTGGGCAAACCGCAGCACTTGTTAAATTAAAAGAAACAGACTAGAAGCACAAAAAAAAAAATGGGGATGGGGAGATCCAGTTTTCCAGGAGACCCCAGTATCAGGGCGAACAGAGCCATTTTCAACTGCTAGACCTTCTCAGGAAGTTCTTTCCCCCACATCCAAGCTGATCCCAGCCTGTTCATACCACTGGTGGCCGCCGATTGGAGAGAGAGAGGGAGAGTGTGTGTGTGTCTGTGTGTGTGTGTCTGTGTGTGTGTAGGGAGAGCCCCAGCAGGCTGTAGGCAAAGTCCATGCCCCTGAGCCGGGTGAGGGCGCACCTTGCACCCTCCTAGTGTCCTCTGGCCAGGCCCCTGCTTGTTATTGCTTGAAGCCCCATAGTCCTGTGCCCATGGGGCAGATGGGTGGCAGAAGGGCAGCAGAAGGATCCTTCTAGGGTGGTGACTAGAGTTCAAGGATGGAGAATATGGGGGTCTGAGTGAGCCAGAAGTCTGGGTCCTGGGCCTGAGACATCCCCACTCTCACTGCCGGCTGGCTTCGGCCTCCACTTTCACACTGCTCCTACGACCCTCCACCAGAGCGGGATGAGGTCCTGGGGCCGGGCATCGGTCCAGCAAGCCTTCCTCGAATTCTGTAGGAAAAAGGTGTGGGTTAGGAGACAAGGATGGAGGCTGAGCTGAAGAGCTAGCTGTTCTGAGTGAGGCCAGCACAGAAAAATGTGAAGATTGCTCCTGTTACTCAATTACAGCCTCCTGCCCACTGTGTGTGCACGGGGGTTCCATGACCAAGTGTATGCAGCTCCCCTCCTGTTTTGGTTGTGTGTAGCTCTCTGTCTCTGTGTGTCTCTCTCTTTCTCTGTCTCGCCCGCCTCTGCTCTTGCTGGAATTTCTGGTTCTGTCAGGAGCTGCGGGGG